GGACCGCATCGACCCACAGAACACACTCTTTGCGCCACTTCACCACCTGAAACAGCAGTTTGGTTATTCATGCCATGCAGCTGGCAAGGGCCAGAAGTTCAATGGGGAGACCTCTTGAGAAATGCACTGTGCAAGGAAATGCCTTTGTAATGCAGGGAAGAAAAAGGCAAGGGTATTTTGCTTGAGTTGTCCATTTTCTAGCTGATAAAACATGTAAAATATAGTTTTGCTAAGGTTAAATTTACTAGCAGTTGAATTGGAGGGGATCCATGCCCCAAAATGCTGGAATTTCAAGCTCAACAGACCACCATAAATAATAATAATAACAACAATGTGTTGTCGAAGGTATTCACGGCTGAAATCACTGGGTTGCTGTGAGTTTGGTCATATTCCAGAAGCATTCTCTCCTGACATTTCGCCCACATCTATGGCAGGCATCCTCAGAAGTTGTGAGGTATTTTGGAAACTAAGCAAGAGAAGTTTATATATCTGTGGAAGGTCCAGGGTGGGAGAAAAAACTCGTGTCGATTAGAAGCAAGTGTGACTGTTGCAATTAATATTCAACATACAGATATCATTTGCTGTGATATGTGTGTTTGTGTCAGTAAAATAACAACAACAATTATTATTATTATTATTATTATTATTATCAGCTAGGATTGAAAAATCAGCGGATGACCCAAAATGCAGACTGTGCAAGGAAGCTGATGAAATCATGGACCATCTCCTCAGCTGGTGCAAGAAAATTGCACAGACAGACTACAAACAGAGGCACAACTCTGTGGCCCAAACGATTCATTGGAACTTACGTCACAAGGACTACCTACCAGCAGTAAAGAACTTGTAAAGGGATCATAAACTTGCAAAAATGGTAGAAAATGAACACACAAAAATGCTGTGGGACTTTTGAATCCAGACTGAGCAAGTTTTGGAACACAACACACCAAACATCACGATTGTGGAAAAGAAAAAAGTCTGGATTATTGATGTTGCAATGAGGAAAAACAACAGGAAAAACTACAGGAAAAACTCAGCCACTATTGAGACCTCAAACCCGAACTGCAAAGGCTCTGGCACCAACCAGTACAGGTGGTCCCAGTGGTTATGGGCACACTGGGTGCTGTGCCAAAAGATCTCAGCCGGCATTTGGAAACAATAAACATGGACAAAATCACGATCTGTCAACTGCAAAAGACCACCTGGCTTGGATCTGCGCACATCATTAGAAAATACATCACACAGACTTAGACTCTTGGGAAGGGTTCGAGTTGTGATTTTGTGATATGAAATCCAGCATAGAGATCTCCTTTGCTGTGACATACTGTGCTTTTGTGTCAGAATCTATATAAATAAAAATGTAATGTTCGTTTGTGGGATTAACATAACTCAAAAACCACTGGACGAATTGACACGAAATTTGGACATGACATCCCTAACAGACCAACAAGTGGCCATCACTCATTAAAACAGCGGAAAGGACTTTAAAAACCCTTAAAGCCAAATGATGATACAGCACATGCGCAAAAACAACAGCTCCCAGCATCCCCTAGACCAGGCCCTTTAAGGGAGGAGGTTGCTCCAAATGCACTGCTTCCAAGCTGCAAGCTTTCTTCTTCTTGGATTTCTTTGAGAAAGAAAAAAGGGAAAGAAAAAGGGGGAAGGAAAAAAGGAAGGAAGGAAGGAAGGAAGGAAGGAAGGAAGGAAGGAAGGAAGGAGAGAAAGGAAGAAAGGAAAGAGAAAGAAAGGAGAGAAAGGAAGGAAGGAGGAGAGAAGGAAGGAAGGAAGGAAGAAGAAAAGGAAGGAAGGAAGGAAGGAAAGGGAAGGAAGGAAGGAAGAGGAAGGAAGGAAGGAAGAAGGAAGGGGAAGGAAGGAGAGGAAGAAAGGGAAAGGGAAAGGAAGGGGAAGGAAAGAGGAAGGGAAGAAGGAAGGAGAGAAAGGGAAAAGGAAGGGAAAGGAAGAAAAGGAGAGGAAGGAAGGAAAGAGAGAGGAAGAAAAAGGAAGGGAGGAGGAAAGGAAAGGAAGAGAGGGAAGGAAGGAAGGAAGGAAGGAAGGAAGGAAGGAAGGAGAGGAAGGAAAGGGAAAGAAGGGGAAGGAAAGAGGGAGGGAGAGAAGGAAGGAAGAAGAGAGAAGGAAGGAAAGAAAGGGGGAAAGGAAGGAAAGAGGTAGAGAAGGAAGGAAAGAAAGAAGAAAGAAAAAGAAGGAAGGAAGGAAAAGAGAAAAGAGAAGGAAGAAGAGAGGAGAAAAAGGGAAGAAAGAGGTAGAGAAGGAAAGAAGAAGGAAGGAAGAAGGAAAAGGGAAAGGAAAAAGGGGAAGGAAGGAAAGAGGTAGTGAAGAAAGGAAGGAAAGAGAGAAGGAAAGAAAAAGTGAAGGAAGGAAGGAAAGAGCAAAAGAGGGAAGGAAGAAAGGAGAGGAAGAAAGGAAGAAAGAGGGAGGGATAGTTGGCCACAGCAATGTGTAGTGGTTATAGCTAGTAGTAGTAGTAGTAGAAGTAGTAGTAGTAGTAATAGTAATAATAATAATATCTGACATGTATAGTTATAGAATCCTAGAGTTGGAAGAGACCTCCTGGGCCATCCAGTCCAACCCATTCTGCCAAGAAGCAGAAAAATCGTATTCAAAGCACCCCTGACAGATGCCCATTCAGACTCTGTTTCAAAGCCTCCAAAGAAGGAGCCTCCATAGGCTCCTCTTATTATTGTTGTTTTTATTTATATCCCACTTTCATCTCTTGAGCAAGACCTACCAAGCAGCCCTTGTGGTCTCCCGCAACTCTTCAATTCTCTGCTTTCCGTGCAGAACTATTTATTACAAACCAAACCAACGCAATCTCTGGATGCCAAATGCAATTCTTTGCCTGCTAATCGGAGCGTTCGCACTCGGGTCACACATTGCTTTGTCGTCAACAGATTTATGGCAGTCGGTCCAGCCGCTTTTTAATGGCAAACATCCATGTATTTGGAAGGTTCCAGCATGGGGAAATTTATTCGTTTGGAGACAGGAACAAAAGAAATATGAAAATGCACGCACACTTCTCCTTGGCCAGATCTCGCATATCTCTGCGAGTCTCTTTAAGCCAAAAGATGTCTGGAGCCAAAACAAACCGAAACACACACCCACCGGGTTTGGGGCCATGTAACCCATTAGGGTTGAGCCTTGTTGTGCAACCTGTTTTCCCAAAGTAAAAAAGCCCCAAACTGTGTGCGAGGGATGTTTTGAAGTTCCGCAGGCAGCATAGAGCTTCATTATTTTGGAAGCTCACATCCGGACAATCCCTTTCCTCATCTTAAGACAAGGCCCAGCCTGAATCAAAGGCTACGAAGAGGCAGAGAGATGCCTGGACAGATCAGACAAAGGGTGCATCTACACTGCAGAATTAATGCAGTTTGACATCCCTTTTACTATGTTTCTGTGAGCTACAAATCCCAGCATCCCATCATATTATACCACAGCAGCTAAAGGGTTGTCAAAGGCTTTCATGGCCAGAATCACTGAATTGCTGTGAGTGTTCTGGTCTTGTATGGCCATGTTCCAGCAGCATTCTCTCCTGACATTTCGCCTGCCTCTGTGGCTGGCATCTTTTGAGGTTCTGTTGACAGCAAAGTAAGTGGAGTGTATATATACCTGTGGAATAATGTCCAGGGTGGGAGAAAGAACCCTTGTATGTTTGAAGCAAGTGGGAACGTTGCAATTAGCCAGCTTGAGCACTCCAGGCAACAAAGGCCAGGCACCTCTATGCAGATACCCTCACTGATTGACTTTGCAAACTTCATGGCTACCCAAATGGTAATTCAAGCTTGTCAATTGTAACATTCTCACTTGCAACAACAGACAAGGTTTCTTTCTCATCCCAGACATTATTCGACAGGTATAGAATCATAGGATCAAAGAGTTGGAAGAGACCTCCTGGGCCATTATCCAGTCCAACCCCATTCTGCTAAGAAGCAGGAATATCGCTTTCAAATCACCCCTGACAGATGGCCATCCAGCCTCTGCTTAAAAGCTTCCAAAGGAGCCTCCACCACACTCCGGGGCAGAGAGTTCCACTGCTGAACGGCTCTCACAGTCAGGAAGTTCTTCCTCATGTTCAGATGGAATCTCCTCTCTTGTAGTTTGAAGCCATTGTTCCATTGCGTCCTAGTCTCCAGGGAAGCAGAAAGGAAGCTTGCTCCCTCCTCCTCCCTGTGGCTTCCTCTCACATATTTATACATGGCTCTCATCATATCTCCTCTCAGCCTTCTCTTCTTCAGACTAAACATGCCCAGCTCCTTAAGCCACTCTTCATAGGGCTTGTTCTCCTGACCCTTGATCATTTTAGTTGCCCTCCTCTGGACACGTTCCATCTTATCAATATCTTTCTTGAATTGTGGTGCCCAGAATTGGACACAATATTCCAGGTGTGGTCTAACCAAAGCGGAATAGAGCATGGGGGGCATGACTTCCCTAGATCTAGACACTAGGCTTCTACTGATGCAGGCCAAAATCCCATTGGCTTTTTTTGCCACCACATCGCATTCCTGGCTCATGTTTAACTTGTTGTCCACAAGGACTGCAAGATCTTTTTCACACGTACTGCTCTCGAGCCAGGCATTGTCCCCCATTCTGTATCTCTGCATTTTGTTTTTTCTGCCTAAGTGGAGTATCTTGCATTTGTCCCCGTTGAACTTCATTTTGTGAGTTTTGGCCCATCATCTCTCTAATCTGTCAAGATCCCTTTGAATCCTGCTCCTGTCCTCTGGAGTCTTGGCTCTCTCTCCCAATTTGGTGTTGTCTGCAAACTTGATGATCCTGCTTTCTAGCCCTTCATCTGAGTCACTAATAAAGATCCTGAACAGGACCGGGCCCAGGACGGAACCCTGCGGCACTCCGCTCGTCACGGGATAGAAATACTGCAAATAAATAAATAATAATAAATAAATTCTATGACCCTTATGATCTGTGCCTGGCCCCTGAATGTGGAAAGGCACCCAAATGAGGTGGAAAGGAGGCCACAAAGGAGAGAATAGAAGCAGACGCATCTTTACTGGAATCGTGAAAGGGAATCAGCTGCTGGTGACACAACGGAGGGCTTCTCCACGCAAGCGCTTTGTACAGCACGGGAAGACAGCAGCGCTAAGCTCATCCCCCAAACTCTCCCCACAGAGCTATGCCCAAACTAGCCCCCCAAACACGTGGGGAAAGGCGTCTCCCCCAAACCTCATACACCACAAGGCTGGAGCCTCCATTGGACAAGGCTGGAGCCTCCCTTTCGATAGCAAAGCGCAGGAGGTGTCTCTGCTGGGCCAGGAGGACGAAGGCGGGCCAGGCGCTTTGGGGGTGGGAGGCCTTCGGGAAGCAGCGTCTGCCTCATAGCCTGCACGCAACGGGGGGTCTCTCGAGTCAGAAGGGGGTGCTCCAAAAGGCCTCCTCCTCTCTCTCCTCCCAGGTGCAGGCTGCCCACCACCAATCAGGTACAGATAGGCCCAAGTCGCTTTGCTTATGGCGGGCGTCCAGGGCAAAAAGTCCACCTTCGATTTCCAAAAGAGAGAGCCTCCCCGGCTACATGAAGTCATCGGAGTCGTTGCCATCCTGAGGAAGGAAGCACAGCGGAAAACACTGATGCGGAGAGGTCAAGGAGAACTGGTAACAACAAGGTCCCTAGACCCCACATCATCATCATCATCATGATGTTTATGTTTGTTTATTTACAATATTTCTATGCCGCCCTTCTCACCCCGAAGGGGACTCAGAGCGGCTTACAAGGTATATATACATACAATATATTATTTATATTACTTATATCCTGATTTTTCCCTCTACAAAGAAGACTCAAAGTGGCTTTCGTGGAATCTAAGCCATAGAGTAGGCATGGGTAAACTTTGGCCCTCCCACCAACTGTTTTGGACTACTGGGTTTTAGGAATTGTGGGACTTGTAGTCCAAACACCTTGGCCTGCATCAATAGGAGCCTAGTGTCTAGATCTAAGGAAGTAATGCTACCCCTCTATTCTGTTTTGGTTAGACCGCATCTGGAATATTGTGTCCAGTTCTGGGCACCACAATTCAAGAGAGATATTGACAAGCTGGAATGTGTCCAGAGGAAAGCGACTAAAATGATAAAAGGTCTGGAGAACAAGCCCTATGAGGAGCGGCTTAAGGAGCTGGGCATGTTTAGCCTGAATAAGAGAAGGCTGAGAGGGGATATGATAGCCATGTATAAATATGTGAGAGGAAGCCACAGGGAGGAGGGAGGAAGCTTGTTTTCTGCCTCCCTGGAGACTAGGACACTAAACAATGGCTTCAAACTACAAGAAAGGAGATTCCATCTGAACATGAGGAAGAACTTCCTGACTGTGAGAGCTGTTCAGCAGTGGAACTCTCTGCCCCGGAGTGTGGTGGAGGCTCCTTCTTTGGAAGCTTTTAAACAGAGGCTGGATGGCCATCTGTCAGGGTGATTTGAATGCAATATTCCTGCTTCTTGGCAGGGGTTGGACTGGATGGCCCATGAGGTCTCTTCCAACTCTTTGATTCTATGATTCTAGGGAGGGCCTAAGTTTGCCCATGCCTGCTATATAGACACAGAGCTGAGCTAGAGGCCCTAGAGCAGTGTTTCTCAACCTGAGGGTTGGGACCCCTGGGGGGTCATGAGGGGGCGTCAGAGTGGACGCCAAAAACCAACAGAAAACACAGTATTGTCTGTATTGTCGAAGGCTTTCATGGCTGGAATCACTGGGTTGTTGTAGGTTTTTCGGGCTATATGGCCAAGTTCTAGAAGCATTCTATCCTGACGTTTCGCCTGCATCTATGGCAAACATCCTCACAATCTCTGAGGATGCTCGCCATAGATGCAGGCGAAATGTCAGGAAAGAATGCATCTAGAATATGGCCATATAGCCCGAAAAACCTAACACAATCTCAGTATTGTCTGTTGGTCATGGGGTCCAATGTGGGGAGTTTGGACCAATTCTATCCTTGGTGGGGTTCAGAATGCTCTTTCATTGTAGGTGAACTATAAATCCCAGCAACTGCAACTCCCTAATGTCAAGTTCTATTTTCCCCAAACTCCAGCAGTGTTCACATTTGGGCATATTGAGTATCCATGCCAAGTTTGGTCCAGATCTATCATTGTTTGAGTCCACAGTCCTCTCTGGAAGTACGTGGACTATAACTCTAAAACTCAAGGTCAATGCCCACCAAACCTTTCCAGGATTTTCTCTTGGTCATGGGAGTTCTGTGTGCCAAGTTCGGTTCAATTACATCATTGGTAGAGTTGAGAATGTTCTTTGATTCTAAGTGAACTATAAATCCCAGCAACTCCAACTTCCAAATGACAAAATCGATCCTCCTCCCAATCCCACCAGTATTCAAATTTGAGCGTATTGGGTACTTGTGCCAAATTGGGTCTAGTGAATGAAAATACAGCCTGCATAGGCCTGTAGTCAGGATTTTGATTCGGGGGGGTGGGGGGGGGCTGTGTCTGAGTGAGAGGGTCTACCTTAGCAAACCTTTTGTATCATTACCCCAATACCTCCATGCATACGGGATATATTAAGCATGGTGATCAGATCATGATATGAATAAACATAACAGTTTAAATAATGTACCAGTAAGGCCTTTCTCGCGGACCACCATGAGAATTTCGGGGGGGGGGAGGGCTGAAGCCCCTCAAGCCCCCCCCCCCCCCCCCCCCCCCCCAGCTACATGCCTGATCCTGCATATTAGATATTTACTTGATGATTCGTAACAGTAGTAAAATTACAATTTTGAAGTGGCAACGAAAATAATTTTATGGTTAGGGGTCACCACAACAGGAGGAACTGATTAAGGGGTTGTGGCATTCAATAGGTTGAGAACCACTGACCTAGAGATTGCTGTAGATAAAAACAATAGTGTTTTTCCCCACCTTCACAGGTGTAGTGAACCCCAGAGAATGTGAAGTGTTGACAATAATGCCACTGCTCCCTGCTTTCAGCAAATCTTACAGGGAACTCTCAGGGAAGGAGAGCAACCTGCTTCCAAAGGCCTCAGTGTTACAGACTATCATGGAAGTCACCCCGCTTGTTGTGGTTCAGCAACAGCATGATGGACATGATGGGACTGAGAGTGCAAGTGGGCATGATGGGAATGGGAATACAGATGCAGGTGTGAGATTTCAGATTTCTCAGTTTTCTCAGCCACAGTCTGTAGCTAGAGAGAATCCCTTGTTCTCAAGGGAAAGGAATGTGGCTGATAACACACTCGGTGAAGGTCAGCGCGAGCTGCAGGTGTCAAGGAGAAGTTTACGGATTGCGGCCAAATCTTGAGGCCATCTGCTGGTGGGAAAACTGCTCGTTAGCTGTTCTGTTTAATGTTCAATGTTTTGATGATTTTCCTATAAGAAGACTGCTTGAAAGCTGATTCAGTGTCAGATCCAACTTTGCAATATGGATTGCTATACCTTTGGCTCTAGGGCTTGGGCCTTGGGGTTCATTTGCTTCCTGTAACTTCATGCTATTGCCTGGATTGTATCCTGCTTCTTTGCCTCAATTTTCCTGCTTTGAATCAACAGAACTTATGGGACCTATACTTTGTACTATTGAACTTTTACTGCTTTTACTTGGATTTGTTTAAAACTTCAATAAACTTCTTTCTTCTCAAGTTTGGCTGGTTTGTCAGAGAGCAAGGTGAAGCTTAACCTGAGACGCAACACCGCTCCCATTATGAGCAAACTTCAGCACTCCAGGTGATTTGGATTTCAAGGGCCGGCTTTAGCACAGCAGGTTAATCACCAGCTGCAGTAAGTCTTGTCAATTGAGAGTCTGACAGTTTGAAGCCAGGTCAGGGTGAGATCCTGACCTTTAGCCCAGCTCCCCACCCACCTAGCAGATCAAAACCAACAATGTGAGTGATGATTAGGAACCACATTTATTGGGGAGGTATTTTAGGCACGGCTTTTCCATCAGTAGAAAGAGGAAAGTTTACAAACAAGGAGAGCTGTTTGGCAAGGAGATGAAGCAACAGCACCACCCTGTGGCCGGAACTGAGCACAGCCTCCAAAAGATGCCGAATGATGACAAAAAGATTGTATATACCTCTATATACAGGTGACTGCGGACTGCTTGATTTGTTTTTATACTGTTTTATACTGTTTATAGTTATACTGCTGTTAAATTGTATATTTATGTTCCTGGTATGGGCACGATGGGGTGCCAATTTGTTAGCCGTCCTGGCTCCCTCTGCAGAAGTTGAGATAGGATGGGATATAAAAGTCCGAAATAAATAAAATAAATTGTCGAAGGCTTTCATGGCCGGAATCACTGGCTTGTTGTAGGTTTTTTCGGGCTATATGGCCATGTTCTAGACCAGTGGTTCTCAACCTGGGGTCCCCAGATGTTTTTGGCCTACAATTCCCAGAAATCCTAACAGCTGGTAAACAGGCTGGGATTTCTGGGAGTTGAAGGCCAAAAACATCTGGGGCTATATGGCCATGTTCTAGAGGCATTCTCTCCTGACTTTCGCCTGCATCTATGGCAAGCATCCTCAGAGGTAGTGAGGTCTGTTGGAACTAGGAAAAAGGGTTTATATATCTGTGGAATGACCAGGGTGGGACAAAGGACTCTTGTCTGCTGGAGCTAGGTGTGAATGTTTCAACTGACCACCTTGATTAGCATTTGATGGCCTGGCAGTGCCTGGGGCAATCTTTTGTTGAGATGTGATTAGATGTGCCTGATTGTTTCCCCTCTGTTGTTTTTGTAATTTTAGAGTTTTTTTAATACTGGTAGCCAGATTTTGTTTATTTTCATGGTTTCCTCCTTTCTGTTGAAATTGTCCACATGCTTGTGGATTTCAATGGCTTCTCTGTGTAGTCTGACATGGTGGTTGTGAGAGTGGTCCAGCATTTCTGTGTTCTCCAATAATATGCTGTGTCCAGGTTGGTTCATCAGGTGCTCTGCTATGGCTGACTTCTCTGGCTGAATGAGCCTGCAGTGCCTTTCATGTTCCTTGATGCTGAGGATGCTTGCCATATATGTAGGCGAAACGTCAGGAGAGAATGCCTCTAGAACATGACCATATAGCCCGAAAGAAACTACAACAACCCAATAAAATAAATAATATCTGTTGCTGTCTTGTCGCTGTATAATCAGCATTGAATGGTTGCCGTATGTGTGTTGTGTGATCCACCCTTTGGGGTGAGAAGGGCAGAATATAAATACTGTAAATAAATAAATCAAAACAAGTCCCCAAAATCCCAGCTTACCAGCTGGCTGGGGTTTCTGGGAATTGAAGTCCAAAACACCAGGAGAGCCAAAGTTTCCCTATACCTGCCTTTGGGGCTAAGGATCACCCCCTTCCTGATCTTCTTGGGGGAAAGCCACTGGGAGCCACAGTCCACTGGGCCCCAAGGACCCTTCATTGGGGTTGGTCTAGACCTACCTGGTTGGAGGACATGTTCTCCGCCTTCATTAAGGAAGAGTAGCTCCTGCAAAAGGAAAACAAACAGACTGTATCTTGGAAGCAATGCACTTCCACTATTTCTTCCTCTGAACATAGAATCATAGAATCAAAGAGTTGGAAGAGACCTCATGGGCCATCCAGTCCAACCCCCTGCCAAGAAGCAGGAATATTGCATTCAAATCACCCCTGACAGATGGCCATCCAGCCTCTGTTTAAAAGCTTCCAAAAAAGGAGCCTCCACCACACTCCGGGGCAGAGAGTTCCACTGCTGAACGGCTCTCACAGTCAGGAAGTTCTTCCTAATGTTCAGATGGAATCTCCTCTCTTGTAGTTTGAAGCCATTGTTCCATTGCGTCCTAGTCTCCAGGGAAGCAGAAAACAAGCTTGCTCCCTCCTCCTCCCTGTGGCTTCCTCTCACATATGTATACATGGCTATCATATCTCCTCTCAGCCTTCTCTTCTTCAGGCTAAACATGCCCAGTTCCCTAAGCCGCTCCTCACAGGGCTTGTTCTCCAGACCCTTGATCATTTTAGTCGCCCTCCTCTGGACACATTCCAGCTTGAGGAAGAACTTCCTGACTGTGAGAGCCGTTCAGCAGTGGAACTCTCTGCCCCGGAGTGTGGTGGAGGCTCCTTCTTTGGAAGCTTTTAAACAGAGGCTGGATGGCCATCTGTCAGGGGTGATTTGAATGCTATATTCCTGCTTCTTGGCAGAATGGGGTTGGACTGGATGATGGCCCATGAGGTCTCTTCCAACTCTAGGATTCTATGTGTCTATGATTCTATGATTCTCGTGAACTGCAGGCATTCAAAGCAAGATTTGACAACTCACACATTCTAATTCATAGGATTTCCAGATTGGAAGTACAATTGTAGTACAATAATCACACCTGTATAAAAGTACAAGTGTGATTATAAAAAGGAGCAGAATAAAAACGGATGAAAACCATCAGATAGCGAGTGTGTGGTTCATAGAACTGCACACGTCTCTATTTATTCCTTTGTTAGTATATGGATATGTAGGTGCATATTGATATGTAAGTGTGTGTTTTGTTGGTGTGCTTGTTTCTGATTTAGTTTTGCAGGGTTTTTTTTTTGTAGTAGCTGCAGTTTTAGAACAATACACCGTATTTTCCGGCATACTAGGCGACTGGGCGCATAAGACGACCCCCCAACTTTTCAATTTAAAATTTCAATTTTTGAATATACTCGCCCTATTAGACTACCCATCTTGCCAGCCCCTTCAGGCACCAAAGCCTCCTTTCCTGGGCTTTGAGGCAACTTCTCAGCTCCATAGTGGTGACCCTCCACCGGCTGCTAGGCCCCGCCACAGCCAGCCAAACGCCATGCTCCACACTTCCTGTTTGGGATCCAAAACAAGATGGTGGCTCCTAACAGGCGAGGGAGGCGGGCAGCGGCCCTGCGTTGAAGAAGGGCACCCGAAGCAGCAGTAGCTGCTGTGCTCCTCCAGCGCTGCTTGTTTCCTGCTGCTGGGCTTCAGCCTCACCGAGAGGCTCTTCCACTCTATGCCCACCTTGGCGGTGAGTCTGGCGGCTGAAGTGGCAGAGGAGGCGATGCAGCCATATGGCAAGTATAACGCCTCCTCCTCCACCACTGCATTGACGGCCAAGGAGGGTCTGAAGTGGAAGGGCCCCTTGGTGAAGCTGAAGCCCACCAGTGGGAGACAAGTAGCGCTGGAGGATCGCAGCAGCTGTGGTTGCTTCGGGCGCCCTGCTCCAGCGCAGGGCAGCTGCTCACCCCAGTAGTGAAAAGACCAAGGCAGAGACATCTCCAGCTCATCCCGTTTGGGTATCAGCCAGCACATCAACTACTTAAATCTTAAAATAGTTTCCTAAGATCTACAGAGACACTCGCTGGAACACCTCAGCAAGCGAGAGTCCAAAAGTGGCAGGCTCAAACCCAGAACCTCAACCAATGGCTGATACCAAATGAGAGACTCCCCCCCTGGGCACACAGAAGACGGGGCGACTTGGAAGGCGCTGAACAGACTGCGCTCTGGCACCACGAGATGCAGAGCCAACATTCAGAAATGGGGCCACAAAGTGGAATCCACGACATGCGAGTGTGGAGAAGAGCAAACCACTGACCACCTGCTGCAATGCACCCTGAGCCCTGCCACATGCACAAGGGAGGACCTCATTGCGGCAACACCAGAGGCACTCCAAGGGGCCAGATACTGGTCAAAGGACATTTAATCAACTACTAAACTCACAAATTTTGTATTTTGTCTGTTTGTTTGCTTTGTTCTGTTAGAAATGTAATATAATTTGACTGGTTGTCCTGACACGACAAAATAAAAATAAAGCTGCTCGCCTCCCTTGCCTCAACCCAAAACAGGAAGTGATTTTTTATACCCGGGATACTAGACGACCCCCAAGTTCAGCAAGGATTTTCCAGGGTTAAAAAGTCGTCTAGTACGCTGGAAAATGTGGTATTACAATAATGTAATCCTTTTTGTATTATTATTGTTTTATGTATTATCTTTCCTTCTTTGCTGAATAAAAAATAGTTTTTAAAAAGCAAGGTTGAACACAGGCCTGGGCAAACTTTGGTCCTCCAGGTGTTCTGGGCTTCAACGCCCACAATTCCTAACAGCCCACTGTTTGAAGTCCAAAACACATTGAGGGCCAAAGTTTGCCCATGCTTGGCTTATAGGATCTCGTTGCACCATGGGACTGTCCAGAGGGACTTCTCTAGGTGCCTTCCCCAACCTGGTGTTCTCCAGATGTGCTAGACTATAACTCCCAAAGGGTTGCAACACATCTGGGAGGCACCTGCGTTGCACCTGGGAAGCCTGGGCTGCAGCAAGTGGGCTGAAACACAAGGAACGGGAATAGATCATGATTTCTCATGACAAGCCAAGGCGGACTCTGTGGTTTTCTCTCCTAACCAGCCAGGAATAAGTCTAAGCCACCCACGGAGCCAACGTTCCTGAATGACGTTCATTAGACAAATGGGACTTTGCTGGCCCAGCAAAAGGCAAAACACAACTCGGTGACAACCTCCTCTGCCAGGCATGAGTCCACAGCTGGAAATGAGAGAAGAAACCCCTAAAATTGGAAACACTGGGATTAGAGAGAGAAAACAAACCACAGGTGACCATGGCATGGCTTTTTGCCCAAAGAAGTGTTTTGCTTCTTCTGTTTTGAGTCCCCTTTGGGGAGATAAAGCAGGGTTTAAGTAAATATAATAATATAAATATAATAATAATAATAATACTAATAATAATAATTGTCGAAGGCTTTCATGGCCGGAATCACTGGGTTGTTGTAAGTTTTTTCAGGCTATATGGCCATGGTCTAAAGGCATTCTCTCCTGACATTTCGCCTGCATCTATGGCAAGCATCCTCAGAGGTAGTGAGGTCTGTTGGAACTAGGAAAAAGGGTTTATATATCTGTGCAAAGACCAGGGTGGGACAAAGGACTTGTCTGCTGGAGCTAGGTGTGAATGTTTCAGCTGACCACCTTGATTAGCATACAATGGCCTGACTGTGCCTGGAGCAAACTTTTGTTGAGAGGTGATTAGATGTCCTTGTTTCTTTCCTCTCTGTTGTTGTGCTGTTGCAAAATACTGTGGCTACCAGTATTAAAAAAACTCTAAAATTGCAACAGCACAACAACAGAGAGGAAACAAACAAGGACATCTAATCACCTCTCAACAAAACTTTGCTCCAGGCACAATCAGGCCATTGCATGCTAATCAAGTTGGTCAGTTGAAACATTCCCACCTAGCTCCAGCAGACTAGGTGGGAATCCCTCTTATGGTGCTACAAAGGAGCCCACAAATCCAGCAGAAAGGGATGAGTCCTCAGGGACAACAAGGCCTTTTCTTTGGTACCCCCTCCCCAATTAGATACTATCTTCAAAGGCCTGGGTGGCATAGTGGGTTAAACCACTGAGCTGCTAAACTTGTGGACCAAAAGGTCACAGGTTCGAATCCGGAGAGCGGCATGAGCTCCTGCTGTTAGCCCCAGCTTCTTTTTTCTTTTCCACAATCGTGATGTCTGGTGTCTTCAGCAGTGGAACTCTCTGCACCGGGGTGTGGTGGAGGCTCCTTCTTTGGAAGCTTTTAAACAGAGGCTGGATGGCCATCTGTCAGGGGTGATTTGAATGCAATATTCCTGCTTCTTGGCAGAATGGGGTTGGACTGGATGGCCCATGAGGTCTCTTCCAACTCTTTGATTCTATGATTCTGCCAACCTAGCAGTTCGAAAACATGCAAATGTGAGTAGATCAATAGATACCACTTTGGCAGGAAAGTAACAGTGCTCCATGCAGTCATGCTGGCCACATGACCTTGGAGGTGTCTATGGACAACGCTGGCTCTTTGGCTTAGAAATGGGGATGAGCACCAACCCACCGAGTCGGACACGAATGGACTTAATGTCAGGAGAAAACCTTTTCCTTAGCCTTTTTATCTCCAAAGCAGCATCCCATTTGACAACAAATTGGACACCATTGCTGTCTTCTCTCTCTCTACTCTTACCTTGACCTATCTATATTAATCCCAGTGAAAATTACACCAGTGCAGGTCAAATAGTAATAATTGGGATGTTGTGTGGTTTCCAGGCTGTATGACCATGTTCTAGTAGCATTTTCTCCTGATGTTTCACCTGCATGCCAGTGATTTCAACCATGAAAGCCTTCGACAACAACAACAACAAAGTGCAGCACCCAGAAGAGGATGAGGCAAACTGGACCATAGCTCTTGCCCAGATGCCAACCCCTGGAGCCCAAATCGGGCACATTCTATCCTGGAAAAGCATCCCTTGCCTCCATATGCATCGAAGCTGCCAGGCAAGAGCTCTCTGCACGAATCCCTGCTGGCTACAAGGCGCCAGACATGGATCCTGGCACAGAAATGCTGTTTTTAGAGAGTTCACTGTGAGGTCATTTGGCAGGCTCCGTTGCAGCATCGGAGGAAAAACAAATGGGCACTGGGCACCTATATTATTATTATTATTATTATTATTATTATTATTATTATTATTATTACTATTATTATTATTATTGAGCCTGCTGCTCAAGACGACAGCCTGCCTGCCTCCTTTCCTTGCATCAAACACACAGAGAAATAAACAACCAAACAAACAGGGACAAGGGCTGTTGCCTTGCTTCTGGTTTCCCAAGGCCTCCCTCACCTGAGCTCCTCCATCTCCTTCTTCTTCTTCATCTCCTCCTTCTCCTTCTTCTTCATCTCCTGGATCTGGGCCTTCTTCTCGTTCCTCTCCTCCCGGTCGCGGGATTCCTTCTCGGCCGCCAGGTCCGGGAAGCGCTCCACTTTGGTCTTCTCCAGGCGGTTCAGGATCTCGTTCACCTTCTTCTCCACCGTCACCGTCTTCACCTTCGAGAGGGAAATACCTGCCATCAACCCAGCTTACCCGGAATGGGAATGCGATCAAGTTCAAAGGCCCACAAGAGCGCACTTGTTGTCCTCCATCCATCCCTCTTCCCATAGACACATCCTTAAGGAGGATATATATATATATATATATATATATATATATATATATATATATATATATGAGCAGCAATGAAACTGAGGGTGAGTTGTCTACTTAGACCGCATCCCTGAAGGGGAACCTGTTACAGTAAGTTGTAGCAGGATCAAGTGTGTGTTAAAAAAACCCTTATGATGTTAATTATTATGTGCAGCTGGTAATGTAGGTCAGCTAGCATGTTTGGGCCACACCTGGTGGAGTATAACTGTATGGATTTTGGAATAGTTTGGAGAAACAATAATTATGTGCAGCTGGTAATGTAGGTCAGCCAGCATGTTTGGGCCATACCTGGTGGGGTATAACTGTATGGATTTTAGAATACAGTTTGGAGAAGCAATACGCTACTCTGAGTAAGAGAAGCAATATACTGGAATGCGGCTATGCTTTAACAGCGATGCTCTTTGCTATGGTGGAATAGCTATTTACTCAAGGTTTATGTTTTGCTATCTCATTTGAATGAAGAAGCCTTATTCTGTGTTACTTACATGGACTATGTAAGTTTGTCGCACTTTGATTTTGTATGCAACACTGCAAGTTTTTGCCTCTGCTGATAAGAGTACAGTTTTTCTGTTCCCTTTTCCTCTTGCCTGTGTGTCTTTTGCATTGGACTTGACTAAAATTCGCTTCTGCGCAACAGAACCCCATCCCCAGCAGGACCTTACCCCCAACCAGAGGCAGGGAGGCCTCTTACTGTACTTGTATGCTAATGCTTTTATGTTAAGCTGCTTTGAGTCTCCTTTGGGAGAGATAGAGCAGAGCATAAATATAATAATAATAATAATAATAATAATAATAATAATAATTACTATTATTATTATTATTATCGGCACACTGGGTGCAGTGCTTCAAGACCTTGGCCTGCACTTAAAAACAATTGGCGCTGACAAAATTACCCACTGTTAGCTGCAAAAGACGATTCTACTTGGATCTGCACACATTATTCGCCGATACATCACACAGTCCTAGACACTTGGGATGGGTCCGACGTGTGATTGAATACAAAAGCCAGCTTGGTGGTCTTGTTTGCTGTGTACTAATTTTGTTCTGTATCAAATAACAACAACAATAACAAAAGCCAGCCATGTGCAAGTCATTTGTATCAACAAAGCAGCCCCAAGCAACCTCTCCAGAAGCCTTCTCTAACCATCTACACTGACCATTTAAACACAGTTTGAAGGCAGCTTTCAATTGTACTGCCTCGACAATAAACATCCACAAAAGCTCGCAAAATAAAGCCCTGCCCTCTTGTGTCATCACTGTCCAGGCCTCAAACTAGTTCCAGGATTCCCCATATAATCATCTGCACAGCCCAACCACTTTCTCCAGTATCGGTTCTAAACTGACGTAAATGGATGCGCTCCTGGTGCCTTCCAGAAGTCCTGAAGGCCTCAGTGTGAGAAAGGCCTCAGTCTGAGAGAGCTCTCAGTGTGAGAAGGCCTCAGTGGGAGAAAGGCCTCAGTCTGAGAGAGCTCTCAGTGTGAGAAGGCCTCAGTGGGAGAAAGGCCTCAGTCTGAGAGAGCTCTCAGTGTGAGAAGGCCTCAGTGGGAGAAAGGCCTCAGTCTGAGAGAGCTCTCAGTGTGAGAAGGCCTCAGTGGGAGAAAGGCCTCAGTCTGAGAGAGCTCTTAGTGTGAGAAGGCCTCAGTGGGAGAAAGGCCTCAGTCTGAGAGAGCTCTTAGTGTGAGATGGCCTCAGTGGGAGAAAGGCCTCAGTCTGAGAGAGCTCTCAGTGTGAGAAGGCCTCAGTGGGAGAAAGGCCTCAGTCTGAGAGAGCTCTTAGTGTGAGGAGGCCTCAGTGGGAGAAAGGCCTCAGTCTGAGAGAGCTCTTAGTGTGAGAAGGCCTCAGTGGGAGAAAGGCCTCAGTCTGAGAGAGCTCTTAGTGTGAGGAGGCCTCAGTGGGAGAAAGGCCTCAGTCTGAGGCCTTTCTCCCACTCAGTCCCAACGGAGCAGAAGAATGGCGCTGCAATGCACCTGGAAGGCACCTGTTGGTGAGAGACTCATCTGTGAGCCTGGAAACTGTACTTACATCACAGTGGCTGAAATACAGAACATTATTCCTTCTGACAAAGCCAATTCCTGCCTGAGGTCTCCTTAAGGCCATCCTCTGCCTCCCCCTCGGCCCATCCCGGGTCTCCCGCCTTCCTTCCCTTTGTTTCCTTCCTCTTCCCGCTGGGTCTCCTCCTCCGCTCCCTGACTCTCCACTTCACAGCAATGGAACAGCGGATGCTACGTGCTCCTCAGAGGTCTCCACCCAAAGGACCTCTCCTCTCTTCTTGTCAAACGGTTCACGCAATTCCTTCCCTTCTTTTTCTTTTCCTCCCTTTGCATCTACTAAAACTCTATTTTGAAGAGTTGTGGGTTTCAATTACTCCCCCCTTTGAACTGCAACGTTAAGTCAAGATGAATTTACAAGAATCTGAACCAAAATGGATAAATTGCTAATACAGGCATTGCTTTTCAATATATTGGTCTCTATTTAGCAGGAGATGAAATGCAATGAAGCAGAAAAAGAAGTATATATAGTTGTGTTTGCCTGGGGAGGGAAAAAAGGCAGTTGTGTAAGGTTTTTAAAAAAATCTATTTTCTATTTTTTTAAGCAAGGTTAATTTTGTATTGGATCTTTTAGCTTTTTTTTTTTTAGTTTAACGTCTGTGTCTTTTGTCAGAAATATTTAAAATAATAATAATAATAATAATAATAATAATAATAATAATACTTTATTTATATACCGCTCTATCTCCCCGGGGGGACTCAGGTTAGTTTCCAAGCAACAACATCAAAACATACAGAGTCACAACATGAACAAAAAATAACAGTAACAGCAACATAAGCATGGAATTACCCAAATTAACTAGGTATTTTTAAGTACAAAAATGTGAGTCAAGCACTGAAAGGGTTAAATGGATGGATTGAGAAGGCCTCAGTGGAAGAAAGGCCTCAGTCTGAGAGAGCTCTCAGTGTGAGAAGGTCTCAGTGTGAGAAGGCCTCAGTGAGATAAATGCACCGGGATTGTGGTGCGTGCACCGGGATTGTGGAACAGCTGGCTGAGTGTCAGCTGCATTAATTAATTTATTTATTTATTTATTTCTTGCACTTATTGACCGCCACTCTCAGCCCTAAGGGCGACTCGTGGCGGTGAACAGCAACATAGAAGGACAGCATACAAAGATCAACCAAGACATAACAGACTACTACTACGACATATACTTATACTAAAAATCCGCTTCATCTAATCCTGGGGTCATAGCCAAGTTCGTGGTCATAGTCCATTCTAACGTCGTTCCACATATACACTTAGTTGAAGGCCTGCTCACAGAGCCAGGTTTTCAGGTTCCTACGAAAGGCCATCAAAGAGGGCGCCTGTCTAACTTCCGTAGGGAGGGTGTTCCACAGCCGGGGGGCCACCACCGAGAAGGCCCTCTCTCTCGTCCCAGCCAGATCACTCTGACCAAAAGGTCATGAGTTCGAAGCCAGCCCAGGATGGAGTGGGTTTCCAACCAATTGTGTGTAGCCTGTTGTCGACCTTTGCAACCCGAAAGACAGTTGAATCTGTTAAGTAAGAAAATTAGGTACCACCTTAAAAAGTGTGGGGAGGCTAAATTAACTGATTTATGAGGCCATAAAGAAGACTCCAGCAAAGCATTCCAGCGGGGAAGCATGCGGGGAATGCGGAAGTGTTTCATCAGCATCGCAGATGAACGAGGAAAGCGACAGCTCCCCTGGCGGCCAGAAAAAGTGAAATAGCCTCTGTGTTTGTCTGTATATGTTTGTATGTCAAAAATTGGCATTGAATATTTGCCATATATGTGTACACTGTAATCCGCCCTGAGTCCCCTGCGGGGTGAGAAGAAGGGCGGAATATAAAAGCTGTAAATAAATAAAATAAATAAAATAAATGCCTCAGTCTGAGAGTGCTCAGTGTGAGAACGCCTCAGTGGGAGAAAGGCTTCAGTCTGAGAGAGCTCTCAGTGTGAGAAGGCCTCGGTGGGAGAAAGGCCTCAGTCTGAGAGAGCTCTCAGTGTGAGAAGGCCTCAGTGGAAGAAAGGCCTCAGTCTGAGAGAGCTCTCAGTATTAGTAGGCCTCAGTTTGAGAAGGCCTGGTGTGAGAAGCTTTGGTGAGAGGAAGCCCCAGGTTGAAGGCCTTGTGTGTGAAGCTCCAGTGTGAAGGCTGCTGTGTGTAAAGCGACTGTGTGAAGCTCCTGTGTAAGTTCGGTGTGAGAAGAGAAGAGTGAAGTTGTTTATCTGCATGAGAAAGAAGCCCAGCGTGGAAGCAAAGAAGGAAGTATAAAAAACTTTATTTGTGTCGTAGAAACCTTGTTATTGTAAATAGTGCAACCATATTATTTTGCTACTAAGAAAGGCCTCCTAAGGAAGAGATAACATTGGTGTGTGTGTTTTGTCCTTTTTTAACACTTTGTGCTGGGCCATGCTGCTAATAAGTTACTCTGCTGTGCATTTATGAGAAGGGAATTTTGTTAATAAGCCCATTTGCCCAGTATCTTTTTCATCTTATTTTGATTTATTGTGAAAATTGCATTTTTAAAGGAGTGTAATATTAAGGAAAAGGAATGGTATAACTTCTAATACAATGTTTTTGGTGATGCCTAAAACCATTCCAATTTTTCTCAGCATCATTCTTAAATAGAAATAAAAACGGGTGCTGTCTCAGGAACTGTTTTGACTCAATACTATGGAACCCTGGGAGTTGTAGTGTGACAGGGTCTTTAGCCATCTCTGCCAAAGTGTGCTGGTGCTTCACCAAACTACAACTTTCAGGGGACCACTGAGCCATGGCAACTATATTCATGCTACAGTGTAAATGCACTCACACTTGTAACTCCTAATTCCTATGGACTGAGAACACAAGACCCAGCCAGGCAGAACGCTCCCCACCCCCTGAAATCAGGCCAGCGGCCCAAATGCTAAGAGGGGGACTTCCTGCCTTGGTTTGATTGAAGACACATGTATAAACCCAGGCGGGGGAGTCCAGGCATCTGATGTCACTGGAAGGAGTCGGTTTCTCCACGTTCCAGAGATGGCATCACTCGCCTGAGGCAATGCAGGAAATGTGCGGAATGGCTGAACCGCATTCCTCAGGAGACTTGCACAAAAACACCAGCGAGGCTAACCCAGTCCTCCCAAATCGCAAGGCACAAGCCAAGGCTCCCCCGCACTGGTTTCCTTGTGGGCCAGAGTGGGAGAAGAGAAGAGCCCGAGCCCCAGAGGAGAGCAGAGGGAGGCACTTACGTCCTTCTGCCGGTAGAACCCGATCTGCCCCACGTCCATGTCCCCCGTCTTCTTCAGGTTGCTCCACGGGGTGTACACCACGTTGACGTTGTTCATCTTGCAGCCTGTGAGTCAGAAAGAGCAGCCAGGGTCCGGATTTTGTTTGAAGTCAACCATCTGTCCTGACATTCAATCATTATGGCCAGAATTCTTTCAACGGTTAACAATGCGACACCTGCAGCCATTCCCTCCACAAGACTCCACCACAAAACATGATGTGCAGATAATCAGTGATTGATCTAGCGCAAGTGAACCGCAAAGCGAGCAAGGCTGTGGCAGCTCCTGACAAGCTGGCCTTTATAGAGCAAAAAGGAGAAGGGGGACTAAAATGGAGGAGGGCGACTCAAATGATCAAGGGTCTGGAGAACAAGCCCTGTGAGGAGCGGCTTAAGGAGCTTGGCATGTTTAGCCTGAAGAAGAGAAGGCTGAGAGGAGACATGATAGCCATGTATAAATATGTGAGAGGAAGCCACAGGGAGGAGGAGGGAGCAAGCTTGTTTTCTGCTTCCCTGGAGACTAGGACGCAATGGAACAATGGCTTCAAACTTCAAGAGAGGAGATTCCATCTGAACATGAGGAAGAACTTCCTGACTGTGAGAGCCGTTCAGCAGTGGAACTCCCTGCCCCGGAGTGTGGTGGAGGCTCCTTCTTTGGAAGCTTTTAAACAGAGGCTGGATGGCCATCTGTCAGGGGTGATTAGAATGCAATATTTATTTATTTATTTGCTTTATTTCTATACCGCATTTTTCAGCCTAAATCGGCGACTCAATGCAATATTCCTGCATCTTGGCAGAATGGGGTTGGACTGGATGGCCCAGGAGGTCCCTTCCAACTCTTTCATGCTATGATTCTATGATTCTATCTCTCCTGACATCCAATCATTATGGCCAGAATTCTTTCAGCGGTTCACAATGCGACACCTGCCGCCATTCCCCCCACAAGACTCCACCAAAAAACTGTTGTGCAGACAATCAGTGATTGTTGTTGGAGGCTTTCATGGCTGGAATCACTGGGTTGCTGTGAGTTTTTCGGGCTGCCTGGCCATGTTCCAGAAGCATTCTCTCCTGATGTTTTGCCCACATCCATGGCAGGCATCCTCAGTAGTATATAAACCCTAAGCAAGTAGGGTTTATATACCTGTGGAATGATGTCGAGGGTGGGAGAAAGAACTTTATTATTATTATTATTATTATTATTATTATTATTATTATTAAACTTTATTTGTACCCCGCTAACATCTCCCGAAGGACTCGATGCGGCTTACGCAGGCCAAGGCCTGAACACAACAACAGCATAACAACAACAATACAATTCATAGCAAATCAGAAACAGAAAGCAATAACAACAAAACATTACACCATAACACAGTTAAAACACAGTAAAAACCAGGGCCGGGCCAAATGATGGGTACAGATTAAAAAGTGCTGGGTGTGACAGGTGGTATGTTGGATTTCTGGGCAAGTGCAATGTGCAGAGAGTCTTAAACTCTAATAAAGTGCTTCTGGGACATAGTGCTGGGGTTTTCCTGTTCCGGAAAGGCACATCGGAATAGCCAGGTCTTCAAGCTCTTCGTAAAGACTGCCAACGTGGGTGCCAATCTAATGTCTTTGGGGAGGGTGTTCCAAAGTCGGGGGCAACCACAGAAAAGGCCCTGTCCCTCGTCCCCACCAGAAGCGCCTGCGACACAGGCGGGATCGCGAGCAGGGCCTCTCCAGATGAACGAAGGGAGCGCATGGGTTCATAGACGGAGATGCGGTCACGCAGGTAGGATGGTCCCAAACCATTTAGAGCTTTGTAGGTAAGCACCTGCACCTTGAATTGGGATCGGAAGGTAAACAGCAGCCAGTGGAGCTTCTTAAACAGGAGGGTTGACCTCTCTCTGTAAGGAGCACCAGTTAACATCCTGGCCACCGCCCGTTGAACCAGTTGGAATTTCTGAACTCACTACCTGGAGAAATTAGGAAAGCCCCTACCTTAGAAACCTTTTTAAAAAACCTTAAAACCTGTCTCTTCCGCTGCGCTTTTGATGAATAGGTTTACATCCTCACACTGGATGGTCCTTGGGAGTCTCTTCCTACTCTACAGCTGTATGGCTTGACATCCTTCTGCAGCAAAGGTCACATTCAGCGCAGAGCAAATGGGCTCCAGATGTGACCAGGAGGGCATGACCTCCATAGGGAGGCCTTCCGCCCTTCCCCTCCCTGGTTTAGGCAGCCACAGGGAAGCCCTGCCAGGAATCATTGCCCCCCCCCCCCCCCCACACACACACAAACACCCAAGGCCTGGGAGATCTTCCCAAATGCCGTGGCCGCTGTCCAGAAGCTACAGTCACCAAGGAGCCCGGCCGAGCAAGGGTTCCATCCTTCCCCCTTGAGATTGGAGTAACCTGTCCAGGGAGAAAGAAACAAGCACTCATCTAATGTCAGCCTTTCCAGTTCTTGGACACAAGAGACAGTCCCCCCCCCCCCCCACAAATGAAGTCCTTCCACTGGGTTGCTGTGAGTTTTTCCAGGCTGTATGACCATGTTCCAGAATCATTTGCTCCTGAAGTTTTGCCCACATCGATGGCAGGCATCCTCAAGAGGTTGAGGGGCTGACCCCTCAACCTCTGAGGATGCCTGCCATAGGTATGGGAGAAAATTCAGGAGAGAATGCTTCTGAAACATGGCCAGACACCAGTTTCCAACAGACTCCTAACCTCTAAGAATGCCTGCCATACATGTGGGAGAAAAGTCAGGAGAGCATGCTTCTGAAACATGGCCAGACACCAGTTTCCAACAGACTCCTAACCTCTGAGAATGCCTGCCATAGATGTGGGAGAAAAGTCAGGAGAAAATGCTTCTGAAACATGGCCAGACACCAGTTTCCAACAGACTCCTAACCTCTGAGAATGCCTGCCACAGATGTGGGAGAAAAGTCAGGAGAGAATGTTTCTGGAACATGGCCAGACACCAGTTTCCAACAGAACCCTAACCTCTGAGAATGCTTGCCAAAGATGTGGGAGAAAAGTCAGGAAATAATGCTTCTAAAATATGGCCAGAAACCAGTTTCCAACAGACTCCTAACCTCTGAGAATGCCTGCCACTGATGTGGGAGAAAAGTCAGGAGAAAATGCTTCTGAAACATGGCCAGACACCAGTTTCCAACAGAACCCTAACCTCTGAGAATGCCTGCCATAGATGTGGGAGAAAAGTCAGGAGAGAATGCTTCTGAAACATGGCCAGACACCAGTTTCCAACAGACTCCTAACCTCTGAGAATGCCTGCCACAGATGTGGGAGAAAAATCAGGAGAGAATGCTTCTGAAACATGGCCAGAAAGCCCAGAAAACTCATAGCAACCCAGAAGCCTTTTCTACCTTCTGCACCTGACTTCAAAGTGGGGGGGGGGGGGCTTGTGTTCCTACAGGTTCCCAAACTCTTTCCAAGGATCTCTCAACTCGCCCAAGAATCCATTTGTACAAAGTGAAGGAGATCTTACCTTGAATGCTGTTGGCCTTCACAAGCTGCGCGCAGTCGACCAGCACCTCCTTTGGGATGTCATCTATCGTCTGGCCCTGGAAGGGAACAAAGAGAATGGGAAAAGGGTAAAGCGAAAGCAGGCCCATTCCCAATTCCCTCACCAAACTACAACTCCCAGGTTCTAGAAAGTGAGAGAAATCTACCACTCGGAAGGGAAATTTACTCTTAGAAGAGTTATTATCGTGAGGGCACGGATAACAGGAGTGAGGAATATACAAAAAGAAAAAGTGGTTGGCCAGTTAATAGCGTGTGCACAAATCGTTTTAGTGAGGGGCTGGAAAGAAAACAAAATGGACACAGACTAATTGGTATAAGTATATCGTTAATATGTTAAATTTGGAAATAACAAATTGCAAATAACATCTATATAAATAAAAATGCAACTTTCGTTGGTGGGATTAACATAACTCAAAAACCACTGGACGAATTGCCGCCAATTTTGGCCACAAGACATCTACTAACCCAAGGAGTGACCACCACTCAAAAATTTGATTTTGTCATTTGGGAGTTGTAGTTGTTGGGATGTATAGTTCACCTACAATCAAAGAGCATTCTGAACTCCAACAATGATGGAATTGAACCAAACATGGCACACAGGACTCCCATGACCAACATGGGTATTGATGGGCATTGACCTTGAGTTTGGGAGTTGTAGTTCATCTAAATCCAGAGAGCACTGTGGACTCAAACAATGATAGATCTGGACCAAACTTGGCACAAATATTCCATATGCCCAAATATGAACACGGATGGAGTTTGGGGGAAAATAGACCTTGACATTTGGGAGTTGTAGTTACTGGGATTTATAGTTCACCTACAATCAAAGAACATGCTGAAACTCACAAATGATAGAATTGGGGCAAACTTCCCACACACAACCCCCATGACAACAGAAAATACTTAAGGCCATCCAACTCCCGTCACGAGGGCAAGAAAATGTAATCAAAGCGCTCCTGACAAAGAGCCATCCAGCCATAGATAGAGATAGATAGATATGATTCACACACAGAGAGAGATATAGTATCCTAGATTTGAAAGGGACCCCTGAAGAAGGACAATGATATGTTGCATGTTCCAGAGTAGGCAAACCAGACAATCTCCACATCAACACTGACAAAAAAAACCTGCAAGAAATGCTGTTTACCCACAAGCAGAAAGAAATTGCATATATTAGAAGCCAACACTTACTAATTACAGGTGTTGCTGTGGCCCAGATCACCAGATTGGGCCACAGCAACGCCTGGCAGGGGACGGCTAGTAATATAGATAAAATTGAAAAGGTTACAATAACTAAGAGGATGTGGGAATGAGTTAGGAATTATTTAGAGAATGGGCTAAGACATGGAGTACAAAAATTCAGACTGAGATCGGTATTACAAATATAACTTCTGTAGTTTGCCGTATAAATTTCATGTACAAGGAGGGAGAGTGGGAGTGGGTTAAAACAATAAAACAACAATTAAAAATGAGGGCTGCAGTAGCACAGTGGTTAAAGCCACTAGCTGCAGAAAAGGCAGGTCAACAGTTGGAAGCCACGAGTCGGGCTCCCAACTGTCAGTCCTAGCTTCTGCCTACCAAGCAGTTCAAAAGCAGGCAATGCAAGTAGAATAGGTACCGCCTCAGCAGGAAGGTAGAAGGGCACCCCATGCAGGCATACCGGCAAAAGGATCGGAGACGTCTCTGGACAGGAAGCTCCTTCAACATGGAAAGGAGCATCTCCCCATGGCCGAAAGCTGAGAATCGCCTCCAGACGCCCAAGATGCAAAAGGAGAAGGCCTTTACCTTATCTGTGTACTGTATGCCATTGTTAGTGTAAAATGGCAATGAATGTTGGCCTTATGTTGTTGTTGTTCATTCGTTCAGTCGTCTCCGACTCTTCGTGACCTCGTGGACCAGCCCACGCCAGAGCTCCCTGTCGGCCGTTACCACCCCCAGCTCCCTCAAGGTCAGTCCAGTCACTTCAAGGATGCCATCCATCCATCTTGCCCTTGGTCGGCCCCTCTTCCTTTTGCCTTCCACTTTCCCCAGCATAATTGTCTTCTCTAGGCTTTGCTGTCTCCTCATGATGTGGCCAAAGTACTTCAACTTTTGTCTCTAGTATCCTTCCCTCCAGTGAGCAGTCGGGCTTTATTTCCTGGAGGATGGACTGGTTGGATCTTCTCGCAGTCCAAGGCACTCTCAGCACTTTCCTCCAGCACCACAGCTCAAAAGCATCTATCTTCCTTCGCTCAGCCTTCTCTAAGGTCCAGCTCTCACATCCGTAGGTTACTACAGGGAATACCATGGCTTTGACTAGGCGGATCTTTGTTGCCAGTCTGATGTCTCTACTCTTTACTATTTTATCGAGATTGGACATTGCTCTCCTCCCAAGAAGTAAGCGTCTTCTGATTTCCCTGGCCACAGTCTGCATCTGCAGTAATCTTTGCACCTAGAAATACAAAGTCTGTCACGGCCTCCACGTTTTCTCCCTCTATTTTCCAGTTGTCAATCATTCTTGTTGCCATAATCTTGGTTTTTTTGATGTTTCGCTGCAACCCAGCTTTTGCGCTTTCTTCTTTCACCTTGATTAGAAGGCTCCTCCTCGCTTTCGGCCATCAGAGTGGTGTCATCTGCATATCTGAGGTTGTTAATGTTTCTTCCAGCAATTTTCACCCCAGCTGTGCATTCATCCAGCCCCGCACATCGCATGATGTGCGGGGCCTTATATGTGTACTGTAATCTTGGCCTTATATGTGTACTGTAATCTGGCCTTATATGTGTACTGTAATCTGTTCTGAGTCCCTCCGGGGAGATAAAGCGGAATATAAATAAAGTGTAGTAGTATTAACATGGAGAAAGGGGGTCTCCACTGAAGCTTTAGCACCAATCCTTGTTTTCACAAGCCAAATTTTTCAAAATCCAATGATCACAAGGACAGAAAGTGAGGTGAAACCTTCTAAACAGGGGCACAGACAGCAAAAAAAATGCCACAGGGGTGTTGACTCTTCCCTATGCTATCCATAGCTAAACAAATATATAGATTTGGGTGCCGTTACACTTTAAAATGTACCTTTTCCAACTTAAGATTCTAATTCAACTTAAGAAGAAACCTACAGAACCTATCACAGAATCCTAGATTTGGAATAGACTTCATGGGCCATCCAGTCCAACCCCATTCTGCCAAGAAGCAGGAAAATCACCTTCAAAGTACAAAGTGTTTGTAACTTGAAAAGAATAGCCTTGATGGGAAGGTTCAATATAAAAATGACACATAGTGTCTTCCAAACAGGAGAGAAGGGTCAATCCTCAAGGCGATTGGGCCTCCAACTCCCAAAATAATAAAATTTCATTTATAGGTGCAGGTTATTACCTACAAAGCGCTGAACGGTTTGGGACCTGCTACCTCCGTGACCGCATTTCCATCTACGAACCTACATGATCCTTTCAATCTTCCGGAGAGGCCCTTCTCTCGCTCCCACCCCGTCGCAAGCGCGACTTGTGGGGACAAGGGAGAGGGCCTTCTCTGTGGTGGCCCCTCGGCTCTGGAATTCGCTCCCCGGATAAATTAGGCAAGCCCCCACCCTGGCAGTCTTCAGGAGGAGCCAAAAAACTTGGCTGTTCCAGTGTGCCTTCAATGAATGAACAACAATCCCTGACCTTGACCAAATCCTGCATAAAAGGCTCTTGGATGCACTTTATTACACCCTCTACTGCAATTAAACCCCATTGCTTTGTCCCACCTGAACCTCCGTCCAGATACATTACATCGCTCATCTCATCCTTCCTTCGCTACCTCTTTCCCTCCCTTTTTTCCTTTCCTTCTCTACCTTTCCTTCCTTCCCTTTTTTTATCTCTTTTTTCTCTCATTTCTTCCTTCCCTACTTCCTTCCTTTCTTTGTTTTTTGCTTCCATCCTCCCTTTCCTTCCCTCCCTCTTTCTCTCCTTCTTTCCCTCCTTCCTTCCCTTCCTTCTTCCCTTTCTTCCTTCTCTACCTTTCCTTCTTCCCTTCCCTTTATCTCCTTTTTTCTCTCATTCTCTTCATGACTTTGTTTTTTGATAACACATCGGTATATTTTTAATCCCATCATATATGTTTATATAAGTTTAACGCCTTCCCGTTACGACTCAACTACATTTCCGTTACATATTTTCTATCTGTCATTCTATCATTTCTACTTCATTCACTCTACACTTTTAATACTACCCCCTTTTTCTTTATCTCTTTTTTCTCTCATTTCTTCCTTCCTTCGTTTTTTTTGCTTCCATCCTCTTTCCTTCCCTCTTTCCCTCCTTCCTTCGCTCTCTTTCCTTCCTTCCCTTTTTTCTTTCCTTCTCTTCTTCCTTCCTTCTCTACTTTTCCTTCCTCCCCCCTTTTCTTTATCTTTTTTCTCTCATTTCTTCCTTCCTTCGTTCGTTTTTTGCTTCCATCGTCTCTTTCCTTCCCTCTTTCTCTCCTTCTTTCCCTCCTTCCTTCGCTCCCTCCTTCCTTCCCTTTTTATTTCCTTCCCTCCCTCCTTCCTTCTCTACCTTTTCTTCCTTCCCCCTTTCTTTATCTCTTTTTTCTCTCATTTCTTCCTTCGTTTTTTGCTTCCATCCTCTTTCCTTCCTCCCTTTTTTTTTCCTTCTTTCCCTCCTTCCTTCGCTCCCTCCTTCCTTCCCTTTTTTCTTTCTTTCTCTCCTTCCTTCCTTCTCTACCTTTCCTTCCTTCCCCCTTTTCTTTATCTTCTTCTTTCTCTCCTTCCTTCCCTCTTTTCTTCCATCCTTTTCCTTCTCTCTCCTTCTCTCCCTTTCTCCTCTTCCTTCCTCCTTTTTCTTCCTCTCTCCTTCCTTCCTTATCTACCTCTTTTCTTCCTTTCTCTTTCTTCCTCTCTCTTTTCCTTCCTTCTCTCTTTCTTTATTTCCCTCCCTCTTTCTCTCTCTTTCTTCCCTTCTCTCCCTCCCTCTTCCTTCCCTTTTTTCTGTATCATCATTTAGCTTTTTGTCATGTCACTTTTTGGGGTTTTAAAGTCCTTTTTGCTGTTTTGGGGTTTTTTTTATGAGTGATGGTCACTTGTTGGTCTGTTAGGGGTCTTGTGTCCAAATTTCGTGTCAGTTCATCCAGTGGTTCTTGAGTTATGTTAATCCCACAAACGAACATTACATTTTTATTTATATAGATTATTATTATTATTCTGCTCTATTTCCCTGAAGGGACTCAGAGGCCCCCATTGCCAACTTGTCCAATGGTCAGGAATTCAAGGGGTCATAAGTTTGACACCACTGCAACAGATGACCACGAACCAATATGACAAGCAGAGCCGGGGAGTGAGGGGAGTCTTTACCTTGTGCAGCCGGAGGTAGACATGCGCAGAGGAGAGCTTGTCCACATGAAACCTGCAAAACACAATGCAGATGTGAATAGCACCATGATTTCAGTCCTAAAGAATGCTCTCCATAGATACCAGCTGGCACCAGAGCACCGGCCTTTGAATGCATGCATGTTTTGATAGTGGGAAGGGGGATTTTGATGGCTTATCAAGCTCACATCTCCAAGCAACTGTGCACCCAGCCAGAAGAAGAGGAAATTGAACAGCTGGAGTTAAGAATTGCACATATATATATATATATATATATATATATATATATAGGGGATAAGAACAGAGGCAAAGGCCACGGACTCCCTCTGGTGGCTCTCATGATGGAAACAAGGCAAAGCTGGGTTGACGTAATGCTCAGGTGGCCCAAAAGTGACCCTGGGAAGAGTGACCTGCCTTTACATCATTCCCACCAGTGCCCAGCCAAAAATGCAGTCCTATCAGTTGCTGAGGGATCAAAGGGAGAGATATTCCTGCAGCTGGATTCTTTCCACATTTGGGAAAAGCAAAGATATTGACATTCCAGGTTAAGGTGAAAGTACATTATTGGCCTGCCAGGACTCTCATGAGTCTCTCTGGAGCAAGGATAAAGCCAGCTGGACTTGAAAGCGGGAGAAAATATAAGGATGGACAACTCAACTATATGTATTTTTGTAAATGTGTGTCTATATATATATAGAGAGAGGGGGGGGGGGGACAAAGCAAACATAGAAACGCAAGACTACATCTGGAACTGGAATATAACTCCACTTTTTTAGCTCCCTAGAAATTAACCGAGAGACATGATGATGATGATGATTATGATAATACTTTATTTATACCCCACCACCATCTCCCAGAGGGTCTGGACAGCTCACAAAGCACTCAAGGTGCAAACACGCAAAATACAAAACGTGCAAAAACAATACCACAAAAGCAACAACAACCAACATAAACATGACAACCCTCCCCCCAGTAAGCTTTTGTAGACCAAAGGTGCATTTATGCTAATAATATAATATATTGTATATACATATAATATTTATAATATTATAATGATATGCAATATAATACTACTAATGTAATATTATAACTATATTTTTATATTACATGTAACATTCTAATAATATTACAGTATAATGGTATAGTACAATATAGCAATATATATTATTTAATTATTTATTTATTTACCTTACTTCTATACCGCTGTTCTCAGCCCGAAGGCGACTCACAGCGGTTCACAACAAATACGAACAGCAAAAATTCAGTGCTACAGTATAGAAACAGTTAACAACCTAACACATTACACAATTAATAAACAGTTACTACAATACCCATTCACTGTCGTCTCGTCATCAAAAACATGTTCCAGATTCGTCATCCATTGTTCCATTCCAGTGTTCATTAACCAATCATTGCACTAATTATTGGAACACCTGCTCAAACAGCCAGGTCTTCACTTTTTTGCGGAATACCATTAGAGATGGTGCTAGTCTAATGTCGGTAGGAAGGGCGTTCCACAGCCGAGGAGCCACCACCGAGAAGGCCCTATCTCCCGTCCCCGCCAGACGTGCTTGAGAAGCAGGCGGGATCGAGAGCAGGGCCTCCCCGGAAGATCTCAAAGTCCTAGTGGGTTCATAGGCAGAGATGCGGTCGGATAGGTAGCTTGGGCCGGAACCATTTAGGGCTTTAAAGGCCAACGCCAGCACTTTGAATTGAGCCCGGTAGCAAATCGGTAGCCAGTGGAGTTGGCGCAACAGGGGGGTTGTATGCTCCCTGCGCTCCGCTCCTGTTAAAATCATGGCTGCCGAGCGTTGGACTAGTTGGAGCTTCCGAGCTGTCTTTAAAGGCAACCCCACGTAGAGAGCGTTGCAGTAGTCTAAACGGGATGTAACCAGAGCGTGGACTACCGTGGCCAAGTCAGATACTAATACTGATATTGTGCTATGCTAATAATATATTGTGTGTGTATATGTGTGTGTGTGTATATATATATTATTTATTTATTTATGTAAGCCGCTCTGAATCTCCTTCGGGGTGAAAAGGGCGGCATATCAATGTTGCAAATAAATAAATAAATTTACGCTGTAGAATCCATGCAGTGTTACACTGCTTACATTTCCATGACTTATGCCATACAGTTTGGTGAGACACCAACACTTCCTGGTTAAAGTTCTTGTAAAACTTCAACTCCCATGATTCTGTCGCCTTGAGCCATGGCTCCCAAAGTGAGTTCAAACTGCTTGGGTTCTACCTCAGGTCCTGGTAAGGAACAAGGGTGGATTTCACAGGCAGGGCGTGAGGCCCCACGGAGCACCGCCCCTTCGGTACTCACCAAATATCTTCTACCCAGCCATATTTTATAAGGTCTTCATCTGCAAGAAAACACAAGACACACCATGAGCTGAGGGATGCTCAGCCTCAAACGGCACCTGGATTTCCCAGGGAAGACTTAAAATATAGTATAGGCCAGGACTTCTTACGCTTCTCCCACTCGCGACCCCTTTCCGCCCAAGAAATACTGATGTGACCCAAGGTATATAACCATATAAAATAGGCACAAAATCAAACATTTAATGATAATAAATCAGCATTTGCAGGGCTTGCTAAACAAGTCCATTTTTTCTTTATGTGGATCCCAGCTGAAGCATTTTCCACAGAGTTGGCTGTAAACACCAACCATTGTTGTAAATGGGTGGCATTCAGAAAACTTTTATTTTAGCCAAATTTTTCGAGACCCCAACACAGAGGGAAGGGGACAGTTAGGCCATAGCCCAAGCTGAAAATAAACAACACAGTGCCAAACTTTCAAAACACATCCAAACGTTTCACTAGATTGGAAAATGAGCTCCCTGTGGTGCAATGGGTTCAACCCTTGTGCTGACAGGACTGAAGACCGACAGGAGCACAGATGAGCTCCCTCTGTCAGCTCCAGCTCCCCATACGGGGACATGAGAGAAGCCTCCCACAAGGATGTAAAACATTAAAACATCCGGGCGTCCTCTGGGCAACGTCTTTGCAGATGGCCAATTCTCTCACACCAGAAGTGACTTGCAGTTTCTCAAGTCACTCCTGACACACACACACACAAAACTAGGTTGGAAATGCTCATTCTGAATGCTAGGCTGCAGCATCGCTCTCAAGATGAACTTAGTAAGGTTTATGTTGTAATATATGCAGATAGGGTTCTGGTCTTCATGCTCCTTTATTGCCAATTCAACACCAGCTCAACACACAGTTTTCAAGATCTGTGTGCTTATGTGGCTATTGACTTATTAATTTCATAGTATTTTCTTAGGCCAGGAATCCTCAAAGGTGGTTTTTGCCAGTTCTTATCTCTGAAACAGCATTTACAGCACCTCGTTTCCTTTGGCCGTCTCGCATCCCAATACTAACCAGGGTTCACCCTGCTTAGCATCCAAAATAAAAGGATGTGGTGCCTTTGGCGTATCTAGCCCCCCTCAAATAAGATACCTGGGAATAATTCATAATATGCAGTTCATTTCCACAAGGCAAGAGCTCAGACAAGAAATGTATAAACTGTTATTAGATCTTTGGAACCAGGATACATATAAGTATTGATATAAATGAGATTATCTTATCTGTTTATTAGGCAAGAGTTTAAATTCAAAAGGCCCATAATGAGTCTCTTTGGGAAGATAGGGCGGTCTACAAATAAAGTTGTTGTTATTATTATTATTATTATTATTATTATTATTATTATTATTGACACAAAAGCACAGGGGGCTGTGATTAATATGTATGCAATTATCTTATTATTACCTTATTATTATTATTGACACAAAAGCACAGTATGTCACATCATCATTATTATTATTATTATTATTATTATTACACAATAACACAGGGGGCTGTGATTAATAAGATCTTATTATCTTATTATTATTATTATTATTGACACAAAAGCACAGTATGTCACATTATTATTATTGTTACGCAATAACATAGGGGACTGTGATTAGCATGTATGCGATTATCTTATTATTATATTATTATTATTATTATTATTATTATTATTATTATTATTATTATTGCACAATAACAGAGGGGAGTGTGATTAGTATGTATGTGATTATCTTATCTGTTTATTAGGCAAGAGTTTAAATTAAAAGGCCCATAATGAGTCCCTTTGGGGAGATAGGGCAGTCTACAAATAAAGTTATTATTATTATTATTATTATTATTATCATTATTATTATTATTATCATTATTATTATTGACACAAAAGCACAGTATGTCACATTATTATTATTATTATTATTATTATTATTATTATTATTCTAACACAATAACACAGGGGGCTGTGATTAATATGTATGTGATTATCTTATCTGTTTATTAGGCAAGAGCTTAAATTCAAAAGGCCCATAATGATTCCCTTTGGATAATAATAATATTATTATTATTGACACAAAAGCACAGTATGTCACATTATTTTTCTAGGCTCTACAGAGACACTCGCTGGAACACCTCAGCAAGCGAGAGTCCAAAAGTGGCAGGCTCAAACCCAGAACCTCAATCAATGGCTGATACCAGATGAGAGACTCCCCTCTGGGCACACAGAAAACTGGGAGACTTGGAAGGCGCTGAACAGACTGTGCTCTGGCACCACAAGATGCAGAGACAACTTCAAGAAATGGGGCTACAAAGTGGAATCCACGACATGCGAGTGTGGAGAAGAGCAAACCACTGACCACCTGCTGCAATGCAACCTGAGCCCTGCCACATGCACGATGGAGGACCTCCTTGCGGCAACACCAGAGGCACTCCAAGGGGCCAGACACTGGTCAAAGGACATTTAACCAACTACCAAGCTTGCAAACTCTGTTTTGTCTGTTTGTTAAAAATTTGTTAAATACAATTGTCTGGTTGATACTGACACGCTAAATAAATAAATTATTATTATTATTGACACAAAAACACAGTGTATCAATTTTGTTATTATTATTATTATTTATTATTATTATTATAACACAATAACACAGGGGGCTGTGATGATTCACATCAAGCTATTCTATGAACTGTACTTCTTTTAGTGTTGCAAGCCCGTTTAAGAGGGGAAGGCAGGCTATAAATAAATATTGCAACAATAAATATAAAGGAAAATAGATCCTGAGGTAGCTGATGAGTTCCCAAAGCATGCGGAATAGTCATCTTGATCAAAAATAGCTTTCTGCCGGTCCAACTTCTAGGAGTAACAGCCCACGAATTCTTACAGGAGACTTACACCTCTTCCCAAGGTTCAAATTGTAAATAAACACACATGAAGCTGGCTCCACTTGCCAGGCACGATCACTGGACTTCCATACTTACTTTCATATTTATCCTTTCCCATATAAATTGTATAAGGAGCAGAAACAACTAGGGGGGAAACAAAAAGAAAACAAGATGAAAGTTTCAAAACAAAGTTGTGAACAGGGACACAAAGTTCTTGCAAAGGGAAAAAACAAACAACATATCTCAAAACATAATATCACTCTTTTCCTGAGGGGCTTTAAGGCTCCAGCTCAATAGCACTGAAGCCTTGAGTAGGGACCCCTTTCCATCCCTGGGAGTCCTTCAGTTCTTTCCCCAGACAATGTCACTGAAAAGGGGGCACCAAAATTAGCCATGGCATCCTCTTCCGCCTTAAGTGTGTGAGAGGAAGCCACAGGGAAGAGGGAGCAAGCTTGTTTTCTGCTTCCCTGGAGACTAGGATGCAATGGAACAATGGCTTCAAACTACAAGAGAGGAGATTCCATCTGAACATGAGGAAGAACTTCCTGACTGTGAGAGCCGTTCAGCAGTGGAACTCTCTGCCCCAGAGGGAGTGTGGTGGAGGCTCCTTCTTTGGAAGCTTTTAAACAGAGGCTGGATGGCCATCTGTCAGGGGTGCTTTGAATACAATATTCCTGCTTCTCGGCAGAATGGGCTTGGACTGGATGGCCCAGGAGGTCTCTTCCAACTCGTTGATTTTATGATTCTATTGTTGTTGTCGAAGGTTTTTAAACAGAGGCTAGATGGCCATCTGTCAGGGGTGCTTTGAATGCAATATTCCTGCTTCCTGGCAGGGGGTTGGACTGGATGGCCCATGAGGCCATCTATGATTCTATGATTCTAAGAACTTCCTGGCTGTGAGAGGCGTTCAGCAGTGGAACTCTCTGCCCCGGAGTGTGGTGGAGGCTCCTTCTTCGGAGGCTTTGAAACAGAGGCTGTATGGCCATCTGTTGGGGGTGATTTGAATGCAGTATTCCTGTTTCTTGGCAGAATGGGTTTGGACTGGATGGCCCATGAGGTCTCTTCCAACTCTAGGATTCTATGATTCTAAGAACTTCCTGACTGTGTTCAGCAGTGGAACTCTCTGCCCTGGAGTATGGTGGAGGCTCCTTCTTTGGAAGCTTTGAAATAGAGGCTGGATGGCCATCTGTCAGGGGTGCTTTGAATGCAATATTCCTGCTTCTTGGCAGAATGAGGTTGGACTGGATGGCCCAGGAGGTCTCTTCCAACTCTAGGATTCTAGGATACTAAGGAAGCTCTCTTAATTTATGTATTTATTTATTTACCTTACTTATATACCGCTGTTCTCAGCCCGAAGGCGACTCACAGCGGTTTACAACAAATACGAAAAAGCAAAAATCCAGTGCTACAGTATAGAAACAGTTAACAACCTAACACATTACACAATTAATAAACAGTGACTACAATACCCATTCACTGTCGTCTCGTCATCAAAAACATGTTCCAGATTCGTCATCCATTGTTCCATTCCAGTGTTCATTAACCAACCATTGAACTAATTATTCGAACGCCTGCTCAAACAGCCAGGTCTTCACTTTTTTGCGGAATACCATTAGAGATGGTGCTAGTCTAATGTCCGTAGGAAGGGTGTTCCACAGCCGGGGAGCCACCACTGAGAAGGCCCTATCTTGAAGGCCGAGCTTGAGAAGCAGGCGGGATCAAGAGCAGGGCCTCCCTGGAACATCTCAAAGTCCTGGTGGGTTCATAGGCAGAGATGCGGTCGGATAGGTAGCTTGGGCCGGAACCGTTGTGGGCAGTGTTCCTCAACCTTCCTAATGCTGCGACCCCTTAATGCAATTCCTCATGTTGTGGTGACCCCCAACCATAGCATTATTTTCAGTGCTACTTCATTATTGTCATTTTGCTACTGTTATGAATCATCATGTAAATATCTGATATGTAGGATGTATTTTCAGTCACTGGACCAAATTTAGCACAAATACCTGATAAGCCCAAATTTGAATACTGGTGGGGTTAGGGGTGATTGATTTTGTCATTTGGTAATGCTGGAGTGCTGGGATTTATAGTTCACCTACTACCAAAGAGCCTTCTGAACTCCACCAATGATGGAATTGAATCAAACTTGGCACACAGAATTCCGATGACCAATAGAAAATACTGGGAATGTCTGGTGGACATTGACGTCGAGTTTTTGGAGTTGTAGTTCACCTACATCCAGAGAATCATAGAATCAAAGAGTTGGAAGAGACCTCAAGGGCCATCCAGTCCAACCCCCTGCCAAGAAGCAGAAATATTGCATTTATTTATTTATTTATTTATTTATTTAGAGGATTTCTATACCAGCCTTCTCAACCTCGACGAGGGACTCAGGTCGGTTTACAGTGCATATCAAATACAATCATATAAAAACAGCAAATACAAATCATTACATATTAAAATAGTACAACTCAGTATAATAAAAACATCATCATTACATCATTACAGTTTCCTATGCCAAATCGTCAATCCAGTCATGGTCATTATCATATTCATACTCACAGTTCATCATAGTTCATAACAGGGAAGGTTCTAGGTTCAGTCTTTGAATGCCGCATTCCAGAGCCATGTTTTTAGCGATTTCCTGAATGTGAGGATCAAATCACCCCTGGCAGATGGCCATCCAGCCTGTTTCAAAGGTTCCAAAGAAGAAGCCTCCACCACACTCTGGGGCAGAGAGTTCTACTGCTGACATAGAATCCTAGACTCCTAGAGTTGGAAGAGACCTGGTGGGCCATCCAGTCCAACCCCATTCTGCCAAGAAGCAGGAATATTGCATTCAAATCACCCCTGACAGATGGCCATCCAGCCTCTGTTTCATAGCTTCCAAAGAAGGAGCCTCCACCACACTCCCTCCGGGGCAGAGAGTTCCCCTGCTGAATGGCTCTCACAGTCAGGAAGTTCTTCCTCATGTTCAGATGGAATCTCCTCTCTTGTAGTTTGAAGCCATTGTTCTGCATCCTAGTCTCCAAGGAAGCAGAAAACAAGCTTGCTCCCTCCTCCCTGTGGCTTCCTCTCACATATTTATACATGGCTATCATATCTCCTCTCAGCCTTCTCTTCTTCAGGCTAAACATGCCCAGCTCCCTAAGCCGCTCCTCATAGGGCTTGTTCTCCAGACCCTTGATCATTTTAGTCGCCCTCCTCTGGACACATTCCCGCTTGTCAATATCTCTCTTGAATTGTGGTGCCCAGAATTGGACACAATATTCCAGGTGTGGTCTAACCAAAGCGGAATAGAGCATGGGGAGCATGACTTCCCTAGATCTAGACACTAGACTCTAAATCCTCAAGGGTCTGGAGAACAAGCCCTATGAGGAGCGGCTTAAAGAGCTGGGCATGTTTAGCCTGAAGAAGAGAAGGCTGAGAGGAGATATGATAGCCATGTATAAAGATGTGAGAGGAAGCCACAGGGAGGAGGAGGGAGCAAGCTTGTTTTCTGCTTCCATGGAGATTAGACACAACGGAACAATGGCTTCAAACTACAAGAGAGGAGATTCCATCTGAACATGAGGAAGAACTTCCTGACTGTGAGAGCTGTTCAGCAGTGGAACTCTCTGCCCTGGAGTGTGGTGGAGGCTCCTTCTTTGGAAGCTTTTAAACAGAGGCTGGATGGCCATCTGTCAGGGGTGATTTGAATGCATATTCCTGCTTCTTGGCAGAATGGGGTTGGACTGGATGGCCCAGGAGGTCTCTTCCAACTCTTTGATTCTATGATTCTATGAGAGGGAAGAAAAGCCGTTAGATGAGGATAAGTTAGGGGCCAATGAATATAGGTCAGAGAATAAGTTAAGTAAGAGTATTTAAGGAAATAGTCAGGATAGTGAGTGGAGAACAGTTGAGAGTTTGCTATTATATGGTTAACAAGGGAATCTTTCTATGTGTAGAAAGTCATAAGGATGAGAGTCATAGAATCATAGAATCAAAGAGTTGGAAGAGACCTCCTGGGCCATCATCCAGTCCAACCCCATTCTGCCAAGAAGCAGGAATATTGCATTCAAAGCACCCCTGACAGATGGCCACCCAGCCTCTGCTTCAAAGCCTCCAAAGAAGGAGCCTCCTCCTTATTCAACTAAGATGCTAATATACAAATGTAACCAACAAGCTTTTGTGCAAGACATGTATAAATAAACTCAGTTAATGTGGAGTTGTGTATGAAGACTGTTTCGTAAAACACTGAATAAGATTTAAAGAGAAACCCAGAGGAGTCCCAGCAGATTTCAGAAGAGAACTGTATAAGTTACTGGTCTGAACTGGTGACAATGGAGAGATATAAAGGAAAGGATCCCCCCACCCCAACTTGGTTTGAAGATATATTATGTGAAGAGGGCATCCCAGAGATATTGACAAGATGGAATGTGTCATGAGGAGGGCGACTCAAAGGTTCAGGGATCTGGACTACAAGCCCTATGAGGAGCGGCCTAAGGAGCTGGGCATGTTTAGCCTGAAGAAGAGAAGGCTGAGAGGAGATATGATAGCCATGTATAAATATGTGAGAGGAAGCCACAGGGAGGAGGGAGCAAGCTTGTTTTCTGCTTCCTTGGAGACTAGGACGCGGAACAATGGCTTCAAACTACAAGAGAGGAGATTCCATCTGAACATGAGGAAGAACTTCCTGACTGTGGAGCCGTTCAGCAGTGGAACTCTCTGCCCAGGAGTGTGGTGGAGGCTCCTTCTTTGGAAGCTTTTAAACAGAGACTGGATGGCCATCTGTCAGGGGTGCTTTGAAGGCAATATTCCTGCTTCTTGGCAGAATGGAGTTGGACTGGATGATGGCCCAGGAGGTCTCTTCCAACTCTTTGGTTCTAAGAACTTCCTGACTGTGAGAGCTGTTCAGCAGTGGAACTCTCTGCCCAGGAGTGTGGTGGAGGCTTCTTCCTTGGAGGCTTTGAAGCAGAGGCTGGATGGCCATCTGTCAGGGGTGATTTGAAGGCAATATTCCTGCTTCTTGGCAGAATGGGGTTGGACTGGATGATGGCCCAGGAGGAAGGGGCCTGAGGCTGTGAGGAATTCTGGGAGTTGGAGTCCCAAACCCCTTGAGGGAGGGCCCAAGTTTGCCTAGCCTAGTGTGATGCTGGCCCTGCTCCTCCTCCTCCTCCTCCTCCTCCTCTTCTTCCCCCCCAAAATGCTCTCCTTCCTTACCGCTGGAGGTGAAGTAGAACACCATGGCAACGGGGCCCTCGCGGGGCTCCTTCGCGTCCGCCGTGGAGACGCCAGCCAACCTCTTCCGCCGGAAGTGACGCAGTTCCCTGTGTAGGAAGGAAGGCGGAATGAAAACAACTCTGACTCGTCTCCTCCTGCAGGGGGCGCTGCCTCCTCCTCCTCCTCCCTCACCCGGAAGAAGGAGGAGAGCGGAGGCGGAAGTGACGCGCAATTGTCCTGTTCCTCTTCCCAGAAGGCACCGCGAGGAGAGGAAAAGGAAGACGTGTCCCTGGAGCAACTTGAGGTGAGTCTCCCGCCTGGGAAGCCTTGTTGCCTCGGTATTCTGCTTGGGTCAGGCCTCTTCACCTGGAATCACACTGAGTCGAGTTCTGGGCCTAGCCATTCCACAGAGAGATTGACTCTTAAACTGGAAAGGCCTGCAGGACCATGAACAATCCCTATGAGGAGCGGCTTAAAGAACTGAGTCTGTTTTTCACCTGGAATCACACTGGGCCGAGTTCTGGGCCTAGCCATTCCACAGAGAGGTTGACTCTTAAGCTGGAAAGGCCTGCAGCACCATGAACAATCCCTATGAGGAGCGGCTAGAAGAATTGAGTCTGTTTTTCACCTGGAATCTCACTGGGCTGAGTTCTGGGCCTAGCCATTCCACAGAGAGATTGACTCTTAAGTTGGAAAGGCCTGCAGGACCATGAACAATCCCTATGAGGAGGGGCTTAAAGAACAGAGTCTGTTTTTCACCTGGAATCACATTGGGCCGAGTTCTGGGCCTAGCCATTCCACAGAGAGATTGACTCTTAAGCTGGAAAGGCCTGCAGGACCATGAACAATCCCTATGAGGAGCGGCTTAAAGAGCTGAGTCTGTTTAGCACAGGCTTGAGCCCTCTTTTCAGGTGTTTTGGCCTTCAGCTCCCACCATTCCTACCACTTATTGAAGCCAGTGATATTTTTTACTATTTTGCAGAACTGCTGTTATATATATTCTTCTTAAGCTGGAAAGGCCTGCAGGACCATGAACAATCCCTATGAAGAGCGGCTTTAAGAGCTGAGTCTGTTTAGCACAGGCTTGAGCCCTCTTTTCAGGTGTTTTGGCCTTCAACTCCCACCATTCCTACCACTTATTGAAGCCAGTGTTGGACTTTGATATTTTTTACTACTTTTATATATATTCTTCAATAAACTGCTTTGCTGATTTACATCGGAGTGTGATGGTTAAGTACAGAGGTGCTTCCTGGAGAGGCCCTACTCACGCTCCCACCTCCCTCACAGGCGCGATTGGTGGGGACGAGGGACAGGGCCTTCTTGGTGGTGGCCCCTCGACTCTGGAATTCACTTCCCAGGGACATTGGACATGCCCCAATGTTGGCAGTCTTTAGGAGGAGCCTGAAAACGTGGTTGTCCCAGTGTGTCTTCCCAGAATAAGGAGAACTCGCACCAATATGCCCTCATAATGCACTTTAATACCGACTTAGAATGGATTGCATTCTCTCGTTTCTTTATGAAAAATCCTATCCCAGTTACATTTTACCTGTTAACGTCAGTATATTCTCAATTTTATTATTATTATTATTATTATTAACTTTATTTGTACCCCGCTAGCATCTCCCAAAGGACTCGATGCGGCTTACAAAGGCCAAGTCCTCAAAACATAGCATAATAATACACAACCTAAAGCAAATCAAAAACAGTTAAAGCAATATTAAAACAACAAGTAATAAGACAATAGACCAAAACACAATAAAACTGGGCCGGGCCAGAGTAATGGGTACAGATTAAAAGTGCCGATGTGACAGGTGGTATATCGGATTTCAGGGTAAGTGCAGTGTACAGCAATCTTAATTTCTACTAAAGTGCTTCTGGGACTTGTTGTTGGAGGATTCCTATTCTGGAAAGGCACATCGGAACAGCCAGGTCTTCAAGTTCTTCCTAAAGACTGCCAACGTAGGAGCCTGTCTAAGATCTTTGGGGAGGGTGTTCCAGAGTCTTCCTAAAGTTAAACATGAGCCAACAATGTGATGTGGCGGCAAAAAAAGCCAATGGGATTTTGGCCTGCATCAATAGGAGCATAGTGTCTAGATCTAGGGAAGTCATGCTACCCCTCTATTCTGCTTTGGTTAGACCACATCTGGAATATTGTGTCCAATTCTGGGCACCACAATTCAAGAGAGATATTGACAAGCTGGAAGGTGTCCAGAGGAGAGCGACTAAAATGATCAAGGGTTCTGGAGAACAAGCCCTATGAGGAGCGGCTTAAGGAGCTGGGCATGTTTAGCCTGAAGAAGAGAAGGCTGAGAGGAGATATGATAGCCATGTATAAATATGTGAGAGGAAGCCACAGGGGGAAGAGAGCAAGCTTGTTTTCTGCTTCCCTGGAGACTAGGAGACGGAACAATGGCTTCAAACTACAAGAAAGGAGATTCCATCTGAACATGAGGAAGAACTTCCTGACTGTGAGAGCTTTTCAGCAGTGGAACCTCTTTGCTTCAGAGTGTGGTGGAGGCTCCTTCATTGGAAGCTTTTTAAAAAGATGCTGTATGGCCATCTGTCGGGGGTGCTTTGAATGCATTTTCCTGCTTCTTGGCAGAATGGGGGTGGACTGGATGATGGCCCATGAGGTCTCTTCCAACTCTTTGATTCTATGATTCTATGATGTTCCAGTGTGTCTTCCCAGAATAAGGAGAACTCGCAGCAATACGCCCTCACAATGCACTTTAATATTGACTTAGAATGGATTGCATTCCCTCGTTTCTTTCTGAAAAATCCTATCCCAGTTACATTTTACCTGTTCACATCAGCATATTCTCAATTTTAATCTATTACATTTGGCCCGGCCATTTTTATTTATTTATTTACTTACTTCATTTGTATACCGCTATTCTCAGCCCTAAGGCGACTCACAGTGGTTAACAACAATCAAGCAAAGCAACACAAGGCAAAACAATCAAAGCAAAAATTCAACGCAGCATCAACAAGGTATTTAAAAACAATTAACACAGAAGCAGACTAAACAATTAAACAGTAGCAAACATTCAAGTGGTGTCTCATAACTAGAATCATGATCCAAACTCGTCAATCGTAGATCCATTTCCTGAATTCATTGCACTGCCTATTCAAATGCCTGTTCAAATAACCAGGTTTTCACTTTTCTCCGGAATACCATCAATGAGGGAGCCAATCTAATGTCTGTAGGAAGGGCGTTCCACAGCTGAGGAGCCACCACCGAGAAGGCCCTATCTCTCGTCCCCGCCAGCCGTGCCTGTGTTGCAGGCGGGATCGAGAGCAGGGCCTCCCCGGTAGATCTCAAAGTCCTAGTGGGTTCGTAGGTGGAGATGCGATCGGATAGGTAACTTGGGCCAGAACCGTTTAGGGCTTTATAGGCCAAAGCCAGCACTTTGAATTGGGCCCGGTAGCAAATTGGTAGCCAATGGAGCTGGTGCAACAGAGGGGTTGTGTGCTCCATGTGCTGCCCCTGTTAGTATCATGGCTGCCACACGTTGGACCAATTGAAGCTTCCGAGCCGTCTTCAAAGGCAACCCCACGTAGAGAGCGTTGCAGTAGTCTAAACGTGATGTAACCAGAGCGTGGACTACCGTGGCCAAGTCAGACTTCCCAAGGTACGGGCGCAGCTGGCGCACAAGCTTTAGTTGTGCAAATGCTCCCCTGGTCACTGCCGAAACCTGGGGCTCCAGGCTCAGCGATGAATCCAGGATCACACCCAAGCTGCGAACCTGCGTCTTCAGGGGGAGTGCAACCCCATCCAGCACAGGCTGTAACCCTATGCCCTGTTCGGCCTTGCGACTGACCAGGAGTGCCTCTGTCTTGTCTGGATTCAATTTCAATTTGTTCGCGCTCATCCAGACCATCACAGCGGTCAGACACTGGTTCAGGACCTCGACAGCCTCCTTAGTAGCAGGTGGAAAGGAGTGACAGAGTTTTTAATATGTCATTATTGATTATTATTATTATTATTATTATTATTAACTTTATTTGTACCCCGCTAGCATCTCCCGAAGGACTCGATGCGGCTTACACAGGCCGAAGCCACAAAACACAATATAATAGAAACAGACATCACAAAAGCAGAACAAATCAAACAATAGCAAAATAACAACAATAGCAGTACATCAAGACATTATTAAAACTGGTTCGGCCGGTGCGCTGGGTACAAGGGATTAAAAGTGCTGAAATGGCAGGAGGCACGTAGGATTTCAAGTGCGGTGTGCAGTAACGATTTGTTATGCTAAGGTGCTATTTGGACTTGGGGTGGGGATTCCTAATCTGAGAAAGCACAACGGAACAGCCAAGTTTTTAAATTCCTTCTGAAAACGGCTAGAGTAGGGGCCTGTCTGAGATCTTTTGGGAGGGCGTTCCAAAGTCGGGGGGCCGCCACAGAAAAGGCCCTGTCCCGTGTCCCCACCAAGCGCACTTGCGACATAGGTGGGATCACGAGCAGGGCCTCTCCAGATGACCGGAGCGAGCGTGTGGGTTCGTAGATAGTGATGCGTAGATAGTTGATAGTTGATTGTTGTTTTTGTTATGTGATTTATATGATTTGTATTTTATTGATTGTGTATTAATGTTATGTTATTGATGTTTGTTTGATGTACTTTGGGCTTGGCCTCATGTAAGCCACACCAAGTCCCTTGGGGAGATGGTAGCGGGGTACAAATAAAGTTTATTAATATTATTATTCCTGTCCTGGGATACAACCGTTTGTAGTATAATTCAACTGTGAAACATTAAACCCAGTTAAAACCATAAACCATTAAAAGGAATAAAGAAAATCAAGCCCATGCATTGACTTGCTGTCAAAAAACCAATAGAAGTCTTCAAGTTTTTTTGAACATTGAAATATACTCAAAATAAATCTATGACATCTGGTTGAAGACAGAGGATACGGTCTTTGGACAAAATGGCACAGTTTCCTGACTTTGTGTTTAGCATATGATGTGTGTTTTTAAAAATTAATACACACACACACACACACACACACATATATATATATATACATACACTGTATTGTCGAAGGCTTTCATGGCTGGAATCACTAGGTTCTTGTGGGTTTTTTCGGGCTATAGAGC